TTCCTTCCATTCATTTATTTATCCATCCTCCACCTGCCCATCCATTTGTCCGTCCATCCATTCGTCTATCCATCCATCCACCCATCCATCCCCGCATCCTTCCATCCATCCATCCAGCCAGCCATGTATCCATCCATCCTCTACCTCCCCATCCATCCGTCCATCCACCCATCCATTTATCCATTTGTCCGTCCATCCCTGCCAGCCCCGTGAGCTCAGGGCGGGGACCGTGGTGGACGAGTCGCGTGCCTCGCCAGCCCTGCCCTCCCGCGGCCGAGCCGAGCCGAGCCGAGCTGGGGGTGGTTTGTGTGTGGAGGTGCGGTGCTCACACCGCCTGTCTGGGGAGGGAAAAGCCGTGTGCGCGAGCCGCGTGCGGCCGCTCCAGACCTCGTGTTTGCCGGTTCCCGCAGCCTTCACCCTCAGACGCTCCCAGTCAACGCCCGTTTCCAGCCCTCGCTGCTGGGGACGCAGCCCCGGCCCCTGAGGCGGCCGTCGGATGATGGCCCCCGGAACCTCGGCGTCGTCGGGCTTGGCGGAGGACGACCCCAGAGCCCCGGCTGCTCCCCTTGGCGGCGGGGTCTTCCTGCCCCGCCCCTGGGCTCCGGGCCCGGCCGGACAGGGGCAGGCAGGCCAGTGCTGGAAAGTCCCCGGCGGGTCGGGGGTCTCGTGTGGTCAGTAGAGAAACCTCACCAGCCATGGCTGTCAGGGTCTCGGGGCCAGGGGGTCCGGTCTGGGCAGACACCAGCACTGCGGCCTGCAGGTCACTCTGTGGGCAACAAGGGGCTTCCATGAGCCTGGAACCAGCGTGATGCCATCCGGCCGCAGCTTCCAGACGGCGTCCTGGAGGCAGCCGGCCCTGGGAGCGGGCCCAGCAGCACAAACCCTCAGGGCCAGGGGTCGGCGCCCCCGGGTCGGGGTGGCTGCGGAAGGACTGCGCCTGCCCGGGCAGGCGGGCCTGTGGCAGGCGGACCAGCCGTGTGATGGTGGTGCCGACGCCTGCAGGGACGGCCTCTGGTCGCAGCCCTGGGCAGAGCCCCGTGCACCTGTGAGTCCCTCTCCGTGCCCGACCCCCTCAGGCAGCTCTGTGACCGTGCCCGTTTCCCAGGTGAGAACAGCCGCTCCGCTCCGGTGCGTGTGCTGTGGTTTCAGGAGCACGGACACAGGAAGCATGTGCCCGAGTCCCGGAGACGGTGCCGGCTCGGGGGCTGTCCTCAGGGCACAGTGGCCCCTGCCACTCGACGGACGGGCCGAGGGGACTGCAGGGAGCCGGCAGGGCCGCCGCTGGCCGTGGTGCCCTCACCACTGTATGCCAGACCCCCGCCCGAGCCCGGTGTGGGTTCCTGTAACCCTCACAGAAAGGGGGGGGGCGGGGATGGCGAGGGCGTCCAGCTGGTAGGTGGGGAAACTGAGTTGGGGGTGAGGCCGCCCTGTCAGTAAGTGGCAGGACTGAGTGTCAGCGGAGGTCACCAGGCTCCTGAGCGGCCTCCGCGCTGGGTCCCTGGAGCCGCTGGGGGTGGGAGGGTGGTGTGGGGGGACACTGTCGTCAGGGTCCGTGGGGTAGAAGCTCTGGTCTCTCTTGGGCGTCCCTGCCCGGTGGCTGGTGACCCCTCTTGGGGCATTGGCCCTGGCGCAGGCGGGAGGGTGACTGTGGGCTCTCGTGGGTTTGCCCCCGAGGGCACCCGGTGGCGGGGATGGAGACGGCTCTGAGGGGCAGAGACCAGTGTGCTGGCGAGTGGGGCACATGCTGGGTCTCGGGGCGCCTTTCTCACCGACCCCCGGACAGCCCTGTGAGGGGAACCGGCCCCGGCAGGGTGCACCACTGGCCCTCGGCCGCACAGGCCTAGGGTGCAGGGCTGACTCCTCGGTGCCCGGACTGGGGCGCCTGCGGCCACCTCTGGGCATTTCCGGCAGGCTCAGCCCGCCGGCCTGCCATTTCTGGAGCCTTACCCCCACTCTGAGGCTGCCGCCCCCCACTCCCTGACTCAGCAGCCGGAGCTTCCAGAACAGGGTGCACTTTTCCAGCCCCGGAACTGTGGCTGCTGGTGCTTGAGCTCCCGTGCACCTGCTGAGCGGTGGGCCTTGGAGATGCCTCCTGCCCGGGGATGGGGCTGGTGTGATCGGGGGAGCTCGTTCCCAGCTGTCTCCTCACTGGACGGGGCGGCGGGCGAGTGGCTGGGGTGGGGGGCGCCTCGGGGAGCGGGGCAGGGCAGGTCACAGGTGCCTGTCGCCCTCCTGGGCACCCCCATCCGGGGCAGCTTGGCTCTGCACTTTTGGGTCCACTTCTGAGCATGTGGTGGAATTTTTGACCTTCTTCTTTCCGGATTTCTCTTGTCAGAAACACGCTCGGATGTGCAGAACCTGGTGTGCAAGCTCCGGGTTTCCACGGGGACCTGACACAGGGCTTCTCTCCACACGCACGCACGCACGCACACACGCACCGTGAGGTCTGCCTCGGAGACTGTGATCCCTTTCTTCTCCTTCCCCGTCGGCGGAGGGCACGTCGGACAGTCAGGTCTTTGATTCTCTTTCCATTGTTGTCCCCGGGGGCCTGGCAGGCAGACTCACGGCACACAGAGAGGTGGCGGGGGGCGTGTGAAGCTGGGCCGCAGGGTCATGAAGCGAAGGGGCCGAGGGTCACCGCGGCAGCCGAGGAAGCCCGTCCCATGTAACCGCTCAGACTGCGAGAACAGAGCACCACTCACCGGGCGACTTCTAAAGGCAGTTCCGGAGGCTGCAAGTCCAAGGTCAGGGTGCTGGCAGGCTTGGCCTGTCTTCCCGCTGGGCCCTCTCTCGTGGTGGACGGGGTGGGGGGCGGGGAGTGCTCCGGGGCCCTTTCGTAAGGACACTGGTCCCATTCACGGGGGCTCTGCCCTCCTGACCCAGTAGCCCCTCCCAGAGGCCCCTCCTCCTGTACCAGCACACAGCGGGTTAGGTTCCAGCATGTGCAGTCTGAGGGGCACTCTGCCCCTGGGACTGCGGTTGAGGGAGGGCTGGCTGAGTGATGCTGTGTGGCTCGTGGTGGAGAGACCCCCCAGGTGACCCCGCAGAGGGGAAGCCGGGGGTCCACGCTCCTCTGTTACTTCCTTCTGGTCTCTTGGCTTCTGCTGGTACCTCCAAGGGGCAGTGGGCAAGGCAGCCTGGTTGGTGCCGGCCCGGAGGTCCGCCTTGCAGGGCGCCGACACTGGTGGGAGAGATGGGAGGCAATCTGAAGGGTGGCATGAGAACATCCTGCACACCCCACACTGCACACCCCACACTGCACACCCCACAGTACACACTGCACACCCCGAACTCGGCCCTTCAGATTCTGCAATGACTTTTGTCCAGTAGGTGGCGCTTGCGAGTGGGTGAGGGTGCAGCTTTGTGTCCTTGGGGACTCAGGGACCAGGCATCTCGGGAATTGCCTAGCTCCTGCTGTGGAGGCTCGTAATCCTGCTAGTGATCGGAAGTCTCCTGCTTTTTCAGTGGCTTTTGAATCCAGTCTTCTAGTTTTTTTCTGACTTTTTTTCAAAGCAAGGCCACTTTGGAAGGTCTCATCACCAGTCTGCCTGGGTGTCATAGGGACTGTATATGAACAATCAGGTGCTGCTCCCTCGTCGTAGGGGGCTCGATGTATAGAATTGGGCACTTTCAGAGTTTTCAAACGGAAACCACACGCGGGGAAGCAGCTGAGACACTAACAAGAGTTCTGCTGTGTGCAGTGCACGGCACCGGGAGGCTGCTGGGGTCTGGCAGGGCGGGGGCCACCCCCGGTGTGCCTGCCGCTCTGCCGCCATGGACGCCACCTCTGCCCCTCTGCCTGGAGGTGCGGTTTCCGGGGCTGACAAAGGCTGTCTCCTTCAGCAAGTGCCAGTCTCGCCCCGAGCCCACTCACCCCCCAGGCCGGGCCTTGGTCCCCTCCGTGTTTCAGCAGGAGCCCGAGGGGGCAGTTTAGGAGAAGCCCCACCCATGTATCTGTGCCCCGGAGCTGCCTCAGCAAACTCTGGATGTCTGTGGTGTTTTTAAAAAAGATTCCATTCATTTATTTTTGGAGAGGAGAAAGGAGGGAGAAAGGGAGAGAAACACCAGTGTGTGGTTGCCTCTCACGTGCCACCTGCTGGGGACCTGGCCCACAACCCAGGCGTGTGCCCTGACTGGGAATCGAACCAACGACCTTCTGATTCGCAGGCCGGCACTCAGTGCACGGAGCCACAGCAGCCAGGGCCTGTTGTCTGCTGGTCTGACAAGATCGCCTGCACTTGATGTTTCCCCCCAGTGGTTTCCCACCCATGACCCCTCACTCTGCTCGTTGCTCCGGACCTCCCCCGCGTGTGCTGCTCTGCTCGCCGTGCAGCCCACCTCTCTCCTCCAGCACAGTGGCTGTGTGCAAAGCCTCCCTACCTTTTCAGCAAGCATCAGGACAAGTTCTCGGCGTTGCCCAGCACCACACCTTGCCGTGGTCTGGGTCCTCAGAGCCTGCCGTCCACCCTCACGCGCGTCCAGGGCGTGTGACGAGCTGCTCGCCCGCTGGTGGCTGGTCCCCGCTGTTGGGAGCCCTGCCTCCACCCCAGGCTGGAAATCTGCCTCGACGTTCACCGAGTGATGCCAGTCCTGCCCTGGCTTGAACCGTTCCCGCCCCCACTGAGCGAAGACATCGCTGCTTGAATGTTAACTGTCCTACCGGACGCAACCTTCGGCAGCCCCTCTGTGGCCCTTCCCGCTGGTGTAACAGGACCCCCCGCCCGGCTGTAGCCGAGCTGCCTCGGACTCTGGGCTGTGGTCGCTGTGGAGGGGGCTGTGCCGGGGGGCGGTGCCCGGGCTGACCTGTGCCCTTCCAGGCACAGTCTGTCCCGGGGACTCCTGCATCTCCGCTCCCAGGCCTTCGCTCCCCCTCTGCTGTGGGTTCGCGCTGGTGCCTGGCTGGATGGTTCTGTGAATGACACACTTTCTTCTTTCCCGGAACACAGTGTGTGAGCTTTGTGAAGCCTGTTTGTCACAAGTCTTTTTTTTTTAATTTGCAGGTTGACGGCCGCGTCCCAGGTGTTAACGCGATCGGAAGCCTGACCCCCGCACGGTGAGCAGTGTGTACTCCTGGGCGCCCTGGGTGCCTTGAAGGACTCCTGGGTGCATCTGGGTGACGAGGGACATCGGCCTTTTAACTCGGCTGTTTGTCTGGTGGCCCTGAGTCCGCGCCTGGTGTCCACTGCTCTGCATCCTTAGTTTTCGTGTCACCTCCTTTGTGGGTGCGTTTGCGAACAGCGACCTCTGCAGGTCGGCGCGACCACAGCTGTCTGCTTGAAGGAGAGTGCTGGGGAGAGGATGTAGAAAGACAATCAAGTTTGTTTACAGATACTTTAATCCGACTCTGGAAAGATAAGAATTGTTTTCTAAACAACACAGCGCTATTATCTCATGTAAAAATGAGCTATAATTTGTTTATCAGTGCCACTGAGTCGTCACACTCAGGTTTCCACGGCGTCTCAGGGATAGGTGTTTCCTCACTGGCTAACAAATGCCTGAGGCTGATCCGAGGATTTGGAGTCCGCTCACTGCGCTTGGCTGAAGCGTCTCCTAAGTCTCTCGTGCGTGTCCTGTCCCTCTTGTTCCGTCTTGCCCTGTGTCTGGCAGAGACGCCGGGTCTTCTGTTGTGTGGAGCTCCCCACAGTGGAGACGGTGCCGCCGACATCCTTGTGTTCTTCAGTGTGCTTTATTGCACCCCCCAAGTCTCCTGTACACCGAAGGCTGGACTGGATTAGGGGTCAGTTTACTGGTGAAAGCAGCTCCTACGGGACAGTGTGACTCGGTCAGGTGACATGTTCCAACTCTTCTCCATGTTGGCAGGGACAGGTGCCGTCTCGTGAGGCCCCACCATTCGTTTCCCCGTGTTCGGGCGGCCGTCCACGGCCCCAGTGGACCCCGGGCCGGCCTTTGTTTAGGGGTCTCGGACAGGCAGCCCTCTGTTCCGCCGTCTGTTCTGTGTTCCTTAGCTGGAAAATCTCCATAAGGAACTGTATTTAAACCTTTTTAACAAGTTAGCTTGAGGTAGAGCTTGTCTGCAAAAGGCAGAATAATGACTTCATTCTTTCCTCGTATTTTTCCAGAATAACGAATTGGTTCCCTACTCTCCTTTGCAGATGAGCAGTCAGTTGTTGAGAAGGATACCGCTGAGAACCCAGTGCAGTTGGTGTCGGGTCAGGACCCGGTGGGACGGGAGTAAGGAAGAGCCTCTTCTTTTAGGCGTCTGAGCTCTAGGAAACATTTCTGGTTGATGAAAGGGAGGAGGGAAGGGGGGCGTGGAGTAAAACGGGACGAGGCTGGAAATCTGCGAGCGTCATCGAATTCCGACAAAGGGGACAAAGAACAAGGATGCGCAGAGTAAGCGATGGAGACGGGGACCGTCTGAGACAGCGAGGGTGGCTGAGGGTGGCGGGGGGTGATGGGGGGTGGGAAATGTGTGGGATCCGGGTCCCGTGGGGCCTCGCAGGCCGCTGTGGGGCCTTTGGGGGCCCTTGGACGGGCCATGTGGCACCGTGAGAAGCATTTTGGAGGTGGAGGGGACGGGGCTTGCTGATGGATGACCTTCCAGTGAGTGTGACAGGAGGAGCCATCTCCAAGGGGGAGGGGCCACAGGCCCTGGGGGTGGGCGGGGCAGGGTGGACCTGCCGGTAGGAGGTGAAGGCTGGGAGTGGGGGTCCCCCAGTCCTGAGCGCGTCTGAGCTGCTGGGCAGGCTCCTCTGGAAGGACAGTCACCTCTTTCAGCTTGGGGACCACAGCCCGACCTCGGCCCTGGCTGCTGCCAGCCACAGAAAGGGCCGGGTGGTCTGGGGAGGTGACTGCTGCGCCTGGGATGAGCGCCCAGTTCTGAAGACATGCGCGCCCGTGACGGAGCAGAGCTGCTCCCGGGAGGGAGACACGCTTGTCGCGTGAGAGCAAGTTGTTGGGGGACGGCTGCGGCCTGGAGCCTGGGCTGGACTCTGGCTTTGGAGGTCTCCCGGGGCTGACGCGCCGGGCTCCGTGTCTCGGTGTCAGCGAAGCGGTTCCTTTGGTCTCGATGGGTCTTCATGGATGGCTGCAGAATTCTTTATTTCAAAAAAATTGAAATAGATGTAAACTACAAGGACTTGTCTCCCTTAATTGCATCTTAATGTAATAAAAACCAGAGTGTAATTATTAAAAACGATACAAGGAAATAATTAAAACAATATCATCGCCCCGCGCAGAGCCTGGTTCATCCTGCACCCGGGACTAATTGTTGTTGTGATGTGTAATTAACTCTCTCTCCGAAGTGCGGGGCTGGAGCGGGGGCGGCGGGTCCCCCGGCTCGGGCGGCGTCTGCGGCTGCCCCCGCCCCCGGAGCGCTTCGGCGCGTGCGCACGCGCAGCCTGGGCCGCTGTTTTGTGCGCACGCGCAGCCTGGGCTTCGGTCTTGGTCGTTTTCTGTGGGGGATGGAGGGAGATGCCGAAAGACGCAGTAGGACGCGGGGTCGTCCGCTGCTTGACCAGACGGCCCCTACGGCCGCCGCGGGCCGGTCGGGAGGGAGGGCTGTGGCTTCAGCTCAGGCCGCGGGGGCGCTTCCGGGGAGTCGGACTAACCCGGGTGGGGGAGGGTCCTTCCTGCCCGGTGTCGGGTTGGCCCGGGGCTTAGGCGTGACACCGGCTCCTTTTCTACAGCCGCCCTGACCTGGCCCCGGGGATCTCGCTGCTGGGATGTCCAGGGGCGGGGCGGCCGAGGAAACAGCCCAGGAGGAACGGGGGAGTGGCGGGCTCCGAGGCCAGAGCCCGAGCCTCAGTTTCCCCGCGGCTCACCGGGGCACCCGTGGCGCGCTGAGGATGGGGAGACCAGAACACGCAAGATCATAAGTTAAAAGTGTTGGGAGAGAACCTTCCAGGGAGACCCCGGCTTCTCCTTGTTGCTGTTGCTTTGGTTCAAGAGTTCTTTGCCTGTACCGCCAAGTCCCGGCTTCTGGGGCAGGGAGGGGCTGCTGCCACGTTGTCCCCTGGGGACTCACACTTCTTACCCTTCGTATTTACGGCTGGCTCCAGTTACCGTGGGGAGTAGATCCCTCTGTGCCCGAGGCCCTGAGAAACGGTCCAGTCTCACGTTCCTCGGGCTGACAGATTTAACTTTGCTGCCGGTGCAGAAAGTAGATATGGAACTTTGATTGTAGCAGTTACTCATCTCTCCTGATTTCCTCCCTTGTAAGTTCCCGGAGCGCCTGCGCGGAAGCCATTGGTCCCGACTGTTACGCCTCAGAGCCACTGCGACGCCGCAGATCTTCCGCTTCCCCCCGAAATGCAATGCAGCGAGGACCCTGGTAGAAACCTGCCTTTGCGGACTTATCTTTAAACTGGGAAGCGGTGTCCCCAGCTGCTCCCGAGCCGACTGCAGGCTGACTCAGCGCCGCGCCTCTGGTGGCAGGAAGGCCGGAGCAGCTTCTGAACCGCAGCGCCTGTGAGAGTGCGTCCAGCTGGTCGACACCCGCCAGCTTGTTACAATTTCTGGGGGGTCTTCAGCACTGCCTATGCATGAGGACACGTGGCCTGCTGCTTGGAGCTGAAGAGATTATTTTTGTGACTTTTGCACGTGTCGGGATGTCATCAGTTTCCCTCCTCCTGGCTGTTCCAGTTTGAGGCTGAGGAGGGAGGACCCGAGGGTGGGTCCTAGGCTGCGGCTTCTCCTGGCTACGGGGAGGTCGCACCCCCCGAGCTGGGGTTCAGGAGCATGTCCTCGCCGCCCTCGTGGCAGCCAGCCCTGTCTGGGGTGTCGGCTGCATCACGGTTGGACTCGCGTTGCCCACGGGGGCTCCAGGTCCCCGTCTGTAGCTGTTCCCCTGGGCAGCTGGTACACTGCCGGCCGGCTTGGGAACGAAAACTCGGAACACTGTGATAATCCCAGGCTCATTGTAGAAACCAGGGCCGAAAGTAGGGGTTTTTTGGTCCCAAATAAGCATATCAGAAATTGTATTTTGAAAGCTGAAGGAGGTTTACAGGTAGGGCCACAGGAGTCCGGAACCTGGGATTTCATTCTAACGGTAGAGGTGGTGGGCCTGTGAGGTTTCTCATTGAGGGCCTTTATTAATTGTTTTTAAAGATTTTAATTATTTATATTTGGAGAGAGAGAGAGAAAGAAAAGGAAAGAAACACCAGTGGGTGGTTGCCTCTTGCACGCCCCCTACTGGGGACCTGGCCCCCAACCCAGGCATGTGCCCTGACTGGGAATCGAACCGGCAACCCTGTGGTTCACAGGCCAGCACTCCATCAGCTGAGCCACACCAGCTAGGGCTCAGCCAGGGCTCACAGAGGGCCTTTAAATGCTTGGGGCCCCTCTAGAAGCAGGTTGAAGCTCTGAGGCCTCGCCCTGGGGAAACACATGGGTGTGCCACACGGCTGCTTGTGTGCGGCCTGACCGGGGCCCCGGGTCTGTCTTGTCCCGCACGTCAGCGTGTCACGGAACCATCGTGGTGCGCAGCTCTGTGCTGGGCCGGGAGCCCCGGTGAAAGCCGGGTCTCCCTGGGTGTTCTTTCCAGACTCAGTGCCGACGAGCTGACCTTGGATGCAACCCGAAGACATTCCTCTCAACTCAGGGGCCGTGAATCACCTGCATCGGGCAGTTGAAGTAGGACGCAGTTTTAAATAAACTGCGTTTTTCATTAAAAAATAAAAAGTCCGGCAGATTTGCTAGGCAGGGTGAAGCCGGAAGCGGGGGAGTGCCCGGAGGGGGTGTCCGCACTGGGTGCTGCGTGATTGCGGATGCAGACCTCAGACCCTCCCTCTGAGGGGCCGGGCGTGGGCAGCAGGGTGATCGGGGGCCTGGACCCACCTGAGCACTGTGGGGGGCCCCGGGCACCCTCCGCCCTCACAGGGCGTGTCCGTGGGAGGAGGCTGCAACCCCCCTCTGCCTCCGCCTGTGCCGCCTGGGGAGCTGCTCCTGGAGCCTGGGTGCTCTTTCTCGCCCAGGACGCGAGGGTTTAATTATCCCCGTGACGCAGCGCTGGGGAATCTGACAGGCCCGGCCACGTCCGCGCTGCAGGCGCCGGCCGCCTGTGCCTTCCCGTCCGCCTCGGCCTGTTCCTCA